GCAAAGTGTAATATCGCGATTAAGTGCACGCTACCGTGAAAGTGGTGATGTTGCTGAAAGGCACACAGGGCGACATCGCATTACTACCCCTCAGCAAGATCATTTTTTACAATTAAATGCTCGACGCCGACCGACTCTTACAGCACCAAAGCTTAGTTTAATTCTCCAGGAAACACATAATGTAACCGTTAGTCCTGACACTGTTCGCAATAGATTAAGAGAGGTCAACTTAAGAAGCAGACGCCCCTGGAGATCTCAACCCTTAACGAGAGGAAATCGAGAGGTACGATATCTGTGGGCTCAAGATCATGTTCAGTGGTCGAATGAACAATGGGCCAATGTTCTCTTCACGGATGAGTCACGCTTTGGAATTCATCCGGATTCGAGAAGGCTTAGGGTATGGTGAGAACCGCGAAATCTTATTCGGTTGGATCATGTTCAGGAGGTGCACCCTTATCAAGGTGAAACAGTTATGGTCTGGCGAGGAGTCCAGTTAGGCCGAAAAACCGATCTCGTTTTTCTTGAACGGTTTCTAACAGGAATCACATATCCTGATTTAATTCTTGAGCCTGTCGTGTTACCATATGCCAATGATTTTGGGAGAAACTTCATTCTCATGCATGATAATACACGGCCTCATACAGCCAGAGTGGTAAGTGAGTTTATCAATGCTCATCAATTAAACATCTTACCCTGTCCGGCACAATCTCCTGACCTCAACCCCATGGAGCACGTATGGGACGCGGTCCAAAGAAGAATTTGAGAATGGGTATGCCCCGTGAAACTCGTAGGGATCTGGTTCGGGCCGTGAATGCAGCGTGGCAGGCTGTATCTCAAGAAGAGATCAACGAGAGCATGGAGAGACGATGTAGGACTGCAATGAACTGTAGAGGAGGCCATATCCTTTATTAAGTAAAAATGGTTTTATCTAATTAATTCGCAGTTTAGAATAAAAAAATGTGTGTATTTTTTTGAGTTCAATAAAAATCAAGGTAAATTTGAAAAATTCGGTAAATTTCGCATTTTTATTTCCAAAACGTCCTGTAAATTATTTGTTTATTTTAATTTTATTATATCAGAAATGCAAATAATAAAATTACTTATGATGGCTGGATAAATTTGTAATATCCCTAGACTTTTCCGGTGTGTCTGTCCCCCCCTGCATTAGCAAGGAGTGTGGCTGAAGTTCTCCGGAAACAATGCCCAGTGTAGGCCTCATAATCTGGCAGCTTCAAGTGTTTTGCTATCATGCTAGGCATCTTACCAATAGAATATATGCCGACAACTTGGTTAACACATCTTTTATTTTGATATTTTTAAAACAATCTGCGACTGGTAGAATTTCTTGGTCGAAGAGCTGCGCATTTTCGGTAAATCTCAATATAATTCAAATTTGACACTGTAAAGACTCGGTCTATGTTTGTTTCTGTATCGGGTACTTTAACAATCAAAACTGAATCTTTATCTTCTATGTTATCGACCGTCATTTTAGTAAGTTTCTCACGGCGGCAAGCCCCAGAAATACCAAGTAATAAAACGAGCTAAAAGGAAATCGATGACGACGTTCAGTAATAAAAAAAAATATACTCAACTCGGCTACGCCTCGTTAAAAAATTCAAATATTGCTCACCAAAGTAGCACTTCGCGCACTAGATACAAAAATAACTGTTATATTGTCAATCACATCGAAAAAAACTGTTTTTTTTAAACGACACAAAAGTATTAATTTCAAGGTCAAATTCAACGAGTTTGACCATAGTTTCTCGATATAGAATTACAAGGTATTACTTTTTTATATCTTTTTATCTCATTTGCAATGTTTGAAATTGTTTAAAAAATTATTTGTGATGTTTGAAAAAAAAATAGTATGTTCTATTCGGAGTAAAAATGACTTTTTCGTCACACGTATGACCTCGCGACAAAAAGTGTCATTGTCCCCCTAATAAAATTTATTTTTTAATGAGAAAATACCTACAGTGTATTTTCTCATCAATCGTTTACATCATTTTCTCTCGTTTGATAACTACTGTATATTTTTTTTATTTTCCCTAAATTCTTTTGCACTATGTCCCCACTTTCCAGTTTAACCATAGCTTGTAATTTAACCACTCCACCGCTCACCCTCAACGCAATCTAGCCCCAAGCGACAAAAAAGGGCTAAATGCTGAAACATTACCACTCCACGCTTCTTCTGATAATTAAATCGCCACAACCTGTTTGAAAATGCCCCCCGTTAAAAGCCTCTTTGCGCGCGTTTCACGCTCCGATTTGAGCCCCGACGCTTTCTAACGCCCTCTATGTGCTGAAATATTCAACTGGCGGACCTCTGGCGGCTTGGTTACGCAACAAAAAAACAAACGATGAAGAATTAATTAATTGTTTTCGACTCGATGGAGCAAAGCGGTCGGTCAGAGAGGGGAAAGATGGGGTGCAAAGTATTTTGGTTCGGTTGTTTGGCCTGATTGCTCAAGTGGGTTGATAGGGGGGGGGGGGGGGGTGTTTAAAAGGGGGTGAACATTATTCAGCTTTTAAGAGGCGGGATTATTTAAACCACGAACTTTAAATACGTAATAGGGAAAGTTAAGTTTTTTTTATTATTATGCAACGAAAAAAACTTTATACAGGGTGAGTTTTCTAGGATGTTCCTTATGGGTATCTCGGAAACTACTCGAGATAGAGAGTCGGTTAAATGGGGAAAGAATTGCAGTTTCGTGGGGTCATTAATATGCGACTTTCAGATTTTTGATAAAGGTCATGGCTTACTAGATATTTCGAAAAAAGCGAATTTCGACTATTTTAAAAATTGTCCCTAATTCCATTATAATCTATTTTAGACAAAAAGTTTTCAGATAAAAGTTATAGATAATAACATCCTTAATGAGATTTTGTCCTCCGTTTTAAAGCCTGTCATTTTTGACATATGACACAAACATATATTTTTTTTAAATGGAAATCATAGTTAGCCATGACTTCATAAAAAGCGCCATGTTTCGATATAAGATATAATATGTTGTTTTTCGAAAAATTACTGATTTATAGCCAATTATACTTATCTTGACTAATTTCACTCAGTTGGTATGGTATTCTCATTTTGTTATTTATTTATAACTTATAAAAAGACAGAATATTTCATTAAACGGTTCTTGACAATTTACATTACACAAACTAAAACTTAAAACATTTTAAGTTATTTAAGAAAATGTTCAAAAAATCCACCATTGTTTTGAGTACATAGATGCATCTTTTTAAAACTGAATTACTAGCTTTTCTCTCAGGACGACCGGTCGACTTTATTAAACTTCCCTTGTACCGCCTCTTCGTGTGCCTCTGTTAATTCATAAGTTCTTTTATAAACCTTGTTAACCATACCGCATAAAAAATCTAAAATGGACAGTTTAGATGATCGAGGAGGCCCATGCAATTGGTCCACCTTGTTCCTATCCCTGAGTTTGCGTAATTATGATATAAATAATTTTTAACATTTCTTTCATTATGGGGGGAGTGTCATAATGAAAATCATGTTGGAACCACTATTGATGTGAGAGTCTCTAAATTCTATCTTAAAAACCGTTCTCTAAAAAGCGTAAGTAACGTTCATCGGTCAACGTATCCTCCAATGTATGACCAAGAAAAGTTGAACCAATAATCATACACGCTTTTCTTCATTTGAAAAATTTATATTTACAATTTTTGTTTATTTTACAAAGTTTGGATGTGACCATGGTACAAAGAAAACAAAGTATGATCGATAGCCGCTCCAATTTCGTTAAGTTTGCGCATACCACCTGTGACGTCATACGCCATACAAAAAAATATCCATATTGTTTAATTGCCACTAATAAAAAAGACCTAAAATAGGGAAAAATTAGGACATAACCCCAAAAAAATTCAAAATGTCAAATCATCGATCTTGACTTTTGAAAGATTATTTTCACGTTTATTGTGTCATCTGTTGCCGTTTATCACCTGTGACGTAATGACCAACCTGCGCAATATCATACCTTGTATTCTTTGTATCATGGGATGTGACAGTTTGATATATCTGAGAGCAACAATTTAACTTGTTTCCATGGCTAACTAAATGAAATTGTTTAAAAATAATACGAATTGGCCCTAACTAATTGTAGCTATATCGCTGAAAATCTTAAAAAATGGCGTTTCTTATAAAGTCATGGCTAACTATGGTTTCCATTTAAACAAAAACAAATGTTTGTGTCATATGTCAAAAATGGCAGGCAAATTCATTAGGCATGTGATTATCTACAACTTTTATCTGAAAACTTTTTGTCTAAAATAGATTATAATGGAATTAGGGATAATTTTTAAAATAGCCAAAATTTGTTTTTTCAAAATATCTAGTGTGCCATGAACGTTTTCAAAAATCTGAAAGGCATCTATTTATGACCCCACAAAACTGCAATTCTTTCCCCATTTAACCGACTCTCTATCTCCAGTAGTTTCCGAGATACCCATAGAGATCATCGTAGAAAACTCACCCTGTATATTCCACAAAATTAATATTTGAACACGCGTTTATAATATCTTACGAGAAATCTGTAAACGATATTTTCCAATTTATTAATTTTTTAATTTTATTTTTTTGTCTGGGACACCCTGTATATACACCAAGATTGTTTATAAATATTCCATATATTAATAGAATTTAGAATTATTGATGCCAAAATCGATAGAAGCCTTTATAAATATTACTAACAAAAGCTATTTTAAAATAAAGCTCGCTGTATACGGAAGAGTGGAATACAAATATTTATAGCAAATATTAACATTATGAATATTAAATGCGTCTGAAAAATTGGAAATTGATTTTTGTTTTACAGAAACAAGGCAGATACAAACTCAAGATAAATAGAAAGAAGAATAAAAAGAATAAATAAAAAATATTTCCATATATATTTTTATTCCAAATCGACTTTTTTGCTAGTTTTGTTGTACCCAGCTGTGACGGCCTCGTTATACTGACTTTTTCTTCTCGTTTTCAGTTGCAGGTGCCGAAGGCTCAGTCCTGAACTTGACAAGGGTGAGCAGGCAACAAATGGGGCCCTACCTGTGCATAGCTTCCAATGGAGTGCCCCCCTCAGTCAGCAAACGCATCATGCTGATAGTTCATTGTAAGTTAAATTGCTCAAAATTTTCTTTTTGGACTTTCCAAAAAGTTGGAAGGTTTATTTTTTATAAAATATACAGGTTTGTTCACCACATACGACACGGAGTGTTGCAGCTAAACGATTAGATTTTTACGAATTGTAAATTTTGGGTTCGTAGAAGGACTATTATAACTATAATTTAAAAATATTTTTCCAAGATACAGAGTGTCCCAAATAAATAAAAAATATCAAAGTTGTATTTTTTTAATGGAACATTCATCATGGAACATATTATTACATTTTTAATTTCTATGATAAAAATAAAGGTCAATTTGATTAAGATTTATCACAATTAAATCTTAACGTTTTTGAAATATTTTCAATTTTGTGAAATTGCAGTAAAAATTTTAAGACTTCATTTCTCCAAGGGTATCAAAGATTTTAATACTAAATACATATTTACTGAAATTTATTTTTGGTCAGTTATTGTGTTGCAGAAATAAAAATACTACTACTTTAAACAGAGTTTCTAAAAATTTATTTTAAATAATTTCTAGCTTTAAACGGCAATAACTTTTTATTTTTTTTTGGGGCATTTAATTTAAATGGAACAGCCTGTATATTTTAGGAGAATCAGATGCACAATTTAAATGTCTATGAAATTGCATTATACCACTTTTATATATTATCCATTCAAGTTTTCGTTGTATTTCCTTATAATTTAGAACTCTTTTATCATATACCCTTGGAACATTGCCATTTTAGATTGTTTTTAAAGCAACAAATGTACCGTCTGATCGAAGAAAAACGGCGTCAGCGATGGCTATGAAATGAAGATCGCTGTAATTTTATATGTAAAATTATATGGGAAATGTCATCGATCGTCATTTTCAAGCCAAATGGGCGCCATTTTTGTACAGGTGCTAAATACGATAATATTACTAGCCCATTTGTATACAAAAAGAAAACTATTTAAATCTTTATAAAAGAGTATACCATTAATTAAATCTGCCATGATTATTTCCGCCCAGATATTAATTAATTACATACTTAATGGTGTTAGTAACAAATTATTCTAAATAAATATGGATTTGAATCAGAAATCAACATAAAAATAAGTTATGAAAATGAACGTCTCTGTTGTTATAAATAAGCATTCATAAAAAAAACACTTTCCTGTAATGTTAGATGATAGATATTCCTAACATTTCATTGTTTGAAATGTCCTATTATCTTTATTCTTTTATGAGCTACACATTTTTAAATAAAATACTAATATTTTTACGATCTTGAATTTGTTGAAAATTGAGCTTTCAATGCCGACCGTTATATTGAGGATGTCCATCATGAAGTTGTTTCATTTGCTCTTTTCATTGAAAATCAGTTTATACAGATGCATGATAATTAGGGTGAGCCAAAAAAAACTAACCTATGGAATTTATGGGTTAAAATGTACCTACAGGATGAGTCAACGATAGAGTAAAGTCCATTATCTGATTTGTTTCAGGGTTTACAAAAAAATATTAAATATAAAAGTAATAGGTACGGTTAAGACACACATTTTAAAATTATTGTAGAGTATACAGGGTGCTTCAAAAAAGTGTGGCGAATATAATATAATGTATGTTTTTTTAAATGCAACATCCTATGTTTTATTTTATTTTTAGATTCTGTGTAAAATTTCAAAATTTTCTTATATATAATGTTATACACCTAAAATGAATAGTTTTTGTAATATTTAAATTTGTTTAAAAAAATGTTTGATTGCAGTGTGTTAAAAAATTGCCAGTGATGCCTTTGTTTCTGAAGTTGGACAACTAAAATTTGGTAGGAGAATTTTATGGAGATATAAAAAAAGACCTATGTAAAGATATTTTAGTTAGATGCTACAGGGTGTTCAAAATATATTTATGAATTTCGTCTACTTAAAATTAAGAAATTTCAATTTTTTTAAGTGGAGGGTGTACCATTATTATATTATCATTTTTTCTGATAGATTTTACAAAAATTTTCAACTTTTATTAAGTATGCCATATACCTATTTTTAATAGTTTGCAATTTATTCCAATTTTTTCTATTTTTACCCATATTTTTAAGACAATTACGCTATAACATCATAGTTGCCATGACAAAAAATAATAATTATCAAAATTTCATGTCTGTTAAGGTAAGAACAAAATTTGAATGTTGTCGTAGGGTGGTAATGGTAGAGATAAGAGTTACATATTTTCCTGAAATGAATTAGTCAATGTGACTAATATACACGAAGAAGCCAAGAAAAACATATTTTTTGGTTCAGTACTATATATTATATAGTACTCTGCTAAGTATTATGAGAATAGATGTAGATTATCTAGAAAACATCTTCAGTGTGTAATGAGACGGTTTGGCGGCAGTAGTAACATTGGCTTTACGAAATGAATTATAATCAGTCAGACATTATAGCCAGTCACTATATCAGTAGTCTTCAACAATTAGGTAATTTAGTATTACCCTAATTTGTGGCTATTCGCCCCGACGGAAATCCCCCCCCCCCAAGTATCATTTTCATTTTTCATAATATAGAAATACACAAAGAAATTCACGACTGCGATTTTAGTTTATAAATCAATATAAAGTTAATTAATTTTAACTAATACTAACAATTGTAACTATATATGAAGCTACTTGTTAAAGATAAGTAATAAATAGTTTGTTTTGTCAATAGTTGACTTTGTCATGATTTTATAGCATAATTGTATTAAAAATATGGGTAAAAATAGAAAAAATTGGAATAAATCGCAAACTATTAAAAATAGGTATATGACATACTTAATAAAAGTTGAAGAGTTTTGTAAAATCTATCAGAAAAAATGATACTATATAGGGTGTCCCATTTAAGAAATTTGAGAATTTTTAATTTAAAATAGTTGAAATTCATAAATATATTTTGAACACCCTGCAGCGTCTCACTAAAATATCTTTACATAGATCTTTTTCTATATCTATATAAAATTCTTCTACTAAATTTTAGTTGTCCAACTTCAGAAACAAAGGCATCACTGACAATCTTTTATCACCTTGCAATCTAACATTTGTTTAAACAAATTTAAATATTACAAAAACTATTCATTTTAGGTATATAATATTATATATAAAAAAGTTATATGGAATTTTACGCAGAATCTAAAAATAAAATAAAACATAGGGTGTTGTATTTAAAAAAACATATTTTATATTCGCCACACTTTTTTGAAGCAGCCTGTATACTCTATAATAATTTTAAAATGTATATCTTAAACTTCCCTATAACTTTTATATTTAAAACTTTTTTGTAAACCTCGAAACAAATGATATAATGGACTTTACTCTATCGTTGACTCACCCTGTACATGATAACCAAGAAAAAAATTTCCCCGGAAGGCAGGATTTTTAGCTCAATTTTAAAAGGTGTCAGTGAACATTCAAAGTTTTCATTTGAAAGCTTTGAAAAGTGAAAAAAATCAAAATATGCAGTTTTAGTATTTATCGATTAAAAATTTTCATATTTAGCAAAAAACTATATTACTCTCAGATAATTAACTTAAAAGACCTATTTTTTGGACTACAGACTTAACAAAAGATTTTAAATAATGAGCAGAGTTTCAAAACTATTTTTTAAATACAGAAAACTGAAGGCTTGGACTTTCGAATACACATAGAGAGACAAATAATTCTCTAGGCCTCTTGGGATTGTTATATTTTCAATATTTACAGATATCTCCATTCCGGTTGCGAAATATGCATACGATAAAGATACAGACCAACGGGAAAACAGAGTGGGAAGGATACTTACTCTCCGATGCGAACATTTCAATTTCGATATTTGCTCGGTGTTTGAAGAGGTCTCGCAACCTCCATTCTTTTCCGATATGTAGCTTTTTAACGAAGGGTTTAAATGTAGAATACGGGTATTTGCTCAAGAACGAACGGAAGCCACCCAAAGAAAATGGGCTGTTTTTAGATAGGTATATTGGCAATAGATTGTATTATAGAAATATCGCTGTTCCTGGAACAACAAGCTAAAGGATCTTTTAATAGAATATAAGATGTATATAAAGATATCGAGAAATATAATATTGTTTACGATAAAGAAAATAGAAAAAGCAAATCTATGTAAAACTTTAGTTTATTACAAAAAAAAATAAAAAAATAAGACATTGGTTATATTGGATGTAGATTTGTACGAAATTTCTTGATATGAACAGTGCTAACCTGTGAACATTACTTAATGCAATGTTATTAATATACTTATTAATAAATTAAATATATCACAAAAAATAATAGTTATTTTTAATACTAGACGATAAAATAGTATTTTATCGTCGACCGATAAGATTAAATAGACGATAATGCAATTTTATCGCCGTGTATAAAACAATATTTTCTTCCATAGTGAGTTACGTTATAAAAAATATTCAGAAGTTATTATTTCAAGGTATTTATTACGAGTAGACAAAATTTGGTTGGCGTTGGTTTCTATGTAATTTGGCAAATAAATAAAGCTGTCTCTTTAGTTGTCAGTTTTGAGTCAATATTTCTTAATTCTCTTTCGTGTCGATTGCTGATTGAATTTGAGCCAGAAATGGCTGAAAACGAAATAAGTAAATTACCAACAGATATTCAGGCTGAGGCGACAAACGCCATATCCGAACTACTTCCCTTTAAATCCCGAATAACTTATGAAAAGGAATACAAAAATTTTCAAAAATGGAAGCAATTAAAAAACGTGCGAGAAGAAATAAAGTTTTTAACCTATCCTCGCTGTTAAAATATCACTTAATCTACTATTTTTGATAGATATAAGGCAATTTTAACAGTTGCTACGGAAAAAAATAAAAACTTATAGAAAGTAAATTTAATTTAAATTTAAGTTTTTTAAGAGGTGGTAAAAAAATAGTTACTTGCACTTACTTCTGGGACGCCCTGTATATACTAGGAATCTATTCGGGATATATTAAAGTGACTATTAATTGTTTCAGTTCCTCCAATGGTATGGATCAAAAACCAACTGGTGGGAGCATACGAGGGACAACAAGTTACCTTGGAATGCCACTTAGAAGCTTTCCCCAAATCCATAAACTACTGGATCAATGAACGTGGAGAAATTATATCTCAAAGCAGTGAGTAGTTTCAGTCTTGATTGACAGTTTTTAAAAATAAATCAGTGACTATGTCAAGCCTTGAAGATAGGAATGTAATAAATCTGTGGCCAAATCTAACTGTAAATGAACAAACGGTTCTTATAAAGGTCTGGGCCCGTATTCTGTAACTTTGACATAAAAACGTTACGCTTTCAAAGCGTTGACCGCAAGTATTCGATCAGCGAAACGCAAGGCAGTCGATTTTGGTATTCTCGTTGCCATGCGAATAGTGTTCTGGATACGCGTTGAGCACATATTGGCAACATCACAATTTCTAATATAACTAATAGTCAAAAGTTAAAACTGACGGATGTAACAATGAAAAATGTCAATGTTACGTGAATTTCATAACCTATTGTTGAGTTATGTCAAGCTATTTTTCTATGGATATGTCATTATTTTTATTATACGAGGGAAGTGTTGAAGACGCTTCTCAGCATTTTCGATGTTTTGAACAATATTTATAGCTGCCAAGTCGTAAATTATCAATTACTTATTGAGGAATTTAAAGAAGAAGTAGTAATTTTCACTAAAGAGCAAGATAACGCACAAAATCGCCATTTTTTCGATTTTTACTGACAGTTCAACAAGCAAAACGATCCTTTAAGGCAACCGTTTTCAAAGCGCTCCGCGCAATCAGTAAAGACGCTAAGCGCGTCAGGCGAGAATACCGAAACCGTTAATTAAGTGCGCGCTCAGCGAAAATTAACGTCATAAGGTCTGTTCCCAGAAAAATCCCTGACTAGTCAGCGCGTTTCTTATTGGTTGAAATGTGTAGAAACCAGACTAACAATCAGGTTTCTACGCATTTTAACCAATAAAAAACGTGCTGACTAGTCAGGGATTCTTCTGAGAACAGATCTATATACGCGTCTAAAAGTTTCAATTTTGGCTTAGCGTTTTCAATGTTACAGAATACGGTCCCTGGGCTTTACCCTCTAAAAAACTGATATGAAAGTAAATTTAGTTTTTGTAAATACCACTGCGTTGAATATAAACCGAACTTGTTAGTGGCTTTTTCCTAGTAAGAAAATGCCTAACTATCCAGTTTCCAGTCACTCTCTTAATATCATCTGTCCATCGACTAGGAGGTCGTCCTATGCTTCTATAGGCCTCGTGTCTTTATCTCCAGTCCACCGTCCATCTGTTCCTATCCTAGCCACATGTCCTGCCCAATTCCATTTAAGATGTAAGACAGATATCATCGGATCTCTTACTCCTGTTTGAGTATTTTATCCTTAAGTGTAACTCCCAACAAAAATATATTGAAGAGCAAGTGGAAGAGGCCATAACTCACCTCAAATTAAACAAAACCCCAGGAACAGGCGGTGTCTCAGCTGAAATGATAAAGTTGATAGGGGAGGAAGGTGTGAAAATAGTACATAACATCTACAATAAAGTATGGCAGTCTCGACAATGGACTAAAGATTGGACTAATTCTGCTTTCATCCCAATTCACAAAAAAGGATCCACACAAAAATGCCAGAGTTATCGAACAATATCCCTAACGTCACATGCAAGCAAGATCTTACTTAGGATAATTGACCGAAGACTTCAGAGGTACTTGACGCCTGAAATACCTCCTGAACAAGCCGGATTCGTGAAAGGAAGAGGCAAAAGAGATCAAATATTTAACATACGTCAACTCATAGAGAAATCCCGAGAATTTAATTCGTCTATGTTCTTGTGTTTTATAGACTACAAGAAGGCTTTCGATTGTGTGAGGTGGAAAAGCCTATGGAGGGTTCTGAGCGAAATGGGATTTCCGAATCATCTAGTGGCTCTTATTAACAATTTATATGACAATAATACGGCAATTGTCGACCTAGATAACAAAACGTCGGAACCTCTCAAACCTAGAAAAGGGGTACGCCAGGGCTGTATACTGTCACCCAGATTGTTTAATGCCTATGGTGAATACATCATGAGACATGCTTTGGAGGGCGAGGAAATAGGAATCGTAGTCAACGGTAAAATCCTAAACAACCCCAGGTACGCGGACGATACCACCCTGATAGCGAAAAGTGAGGAAGAAATGGCCCGGTTGCTGGAAAGAGTTACCATCGAAAGCAATAATCTTGGTCTAGAAATAAACATTGATAAAACCAAACTCATGCTGATTGATAGAAGTGGTGCCGTTCGATTACACAATCTCCTCTCTAATATAGAAAGAGTAGATCAATTTATATACTTAGGGTCTTTAATAACAAATAATGGGGGCTGCGAAGCAGAGATAAGAAGGCGTATAGCTATGGCACGGACGGCTATGATGAGCCTAAGAAAAATATGGACAGATAGGAGCATTACTAAAAACGCCAAAAAAACCCTTGTTCGATCTTTGGTGTCCTACATATTCCTATACGGGTCTGAGTCATGGACCGCCGAGAGCGCTAATAGACACCGTATAGATGCATTTGAGATGTGGTGCTGGAGGAGAATGCTCCGTATCCCATAGACAGCTCGAAGAACGAACCAGTCAATTCTTAATGAACTCGGCATCACAGATCGATTATCCACCATCTGCCGTAGACGCATTCTGAATACTTCGGTCATATCACTCCCAGAGGTGAAGACAACCTTGAAAAAATCATAGTACAAGACAAAGTAGAAGGTCGAAGACCCAGAGGACGATCACCATCGAGATGGCTTGACCAAATAGCAAATATTACAGGTCAGACATTTCAATCAAATCTCCGAGAGGCGGAAGATCGCCAACGATGGAAGATCAAAATCACCAACTGTACATAGCCATACTGTCACGATTCTTCAGACATGAAGAGAGGACGAAGAAGAAGAAGAACTCCCAACATGGACCTTTCCATTTTCCCTTGCATGACCTGTATTCTATGTATTTTCTTTTTTGTCAAAGTAAGTGTTTCAGCTTCATACATGAGGAAAGGCAAGACACACTGGTTAAAGACCTTTCTTTTTAAACATATTGAAAGATCAGATCTCAGTATATGCTTTAGTTTACCGAATGCCGGCCACGACAAACTTATTCTTCGTAGAATTTTGTGTGTCCGATTATCCCTTCTAATAACGATCTCATGTCCTAAGTATTTTTATATATGCACTTGTTCCCAAAATATGATATTAATGTTTAAATTACTTAAGTTAATTTTCAAACCGACTTTTTCCGAAGCATCATTTAGATATCTAGCATATTCTGTGCTTATTGTATATTGTCTGTTATTAAAACAATATCATCTGCAAAACAGAGATGATTTATCAATTTGCCATCAATGTTAATTCCTGTTGAATCCCAGTTTATCATTTTTAACATACTTTCTAGCAGAGCAACGAATAGTTTAGGGGAGAGTGTGTCGCCTTGTCTTACCCCTCGATCGATATTGAATTTGTCTGTGGATTGATTTGTCAATATTCTGACATTTACCGTGGCATTATCATATATATGTCTTAAGATTGCAGAGTATCGATGATCGATGCGACTCTCACTTAGTGTCTCTAGAAGCTTCCACTGGTCTACCGAATCGGAGACCTTCTCAAAATCCACGAAGACAAGCATTAGTTGTCTATTATAGTAAATGCATTTATCGATAAGGACCTGGTCATCAGAAGATGGTCATTTGTTCCGTAACCTGATCGGAAACATGCCTGTTTGCTCAAAAAAAAAGTCTATTTTATTTGTCAATCGCTTGGTGAGTATTTTAATAAAAAAATTGTATACATGGCTAAGAAGGCCTATATTTTATAAGGTCTGTAACAAACTTGTCGTCACCTTTCTTGTGTACATTAATAATGGGTGCGTTGTTCCACTGTGATGGGGTTATTTCTTCTTCAATGCATTTATTAAATAGGACATTTAAAGCTTTGATGATTTCTGGTCCTCCTTCTTTGATTGACTCTATTTCCAGTCCATCATCGCCGGCAGCTCTATTATCTTTCATATCTCTAAGGGCACTCATAATTTCTTCCTAGTTTATTTCTGGAATTTCTTCCGACCCCTGATTTTTATTTCTATTAGTTTAGATTCAAAAAGTCTCTTGTATGTTTCGTTTAGGGACAGATCAGTTCTTTGCTTACATTTCAAGAAATAAACTCGCTGCAAATGTATACATATTATTTTAAAGAAGCGGTTGTTTACATTTTGATTTTTACATCTTTTCTACATCTCTTAAAAAAATCCTTTATGGGTATTTCTTCATTGCACTGCAAGAAAATCTACAAAATAAAATAGTTATTTTTTGTAAACACTTCTGCGTTAAACCTAAACGGACACTGCTTGTCAGAAGTTATGTTTACAGTTATATACAAATTTGTCTAACAAAGAAAATAAAAAAGCTTAACAAAGCAAACCTTTGAAGGAGGGTAAAAAGGACAATAACTCACAATCTTTAAGTTGTTTAATTTAAAAAAAATTAATGCTTAAAAAAGCAAGGAGGCGACTTGTTTCGGGAATTTAAAATATTCCCATCTTCAGGCCCAAAGACAAAAGTCACTTAGGAAGTACAACCACTCAGAATCAATAAAACCAATTAGAGCCGTTAACATTTAAAATAATAATTTGATAATATGTACTCACACTGGGTTAGAGAACGTTTAGTTTTTAACGTTTAGTTTTAAAAAGCTTAACGTTTCGGAAAGTTTATCTCTTTCCGTCGTCAGAAGCAAAAAAAATACAAAGAATAAAGAAAAAAAACTATTTAAAATATTTAAATTCAACTATTCGAGAACACTTTACTTTTTTAAAACAGATACGTCTACAAGAAACCGTTGACGTTCTGTTAAAATGACATTATATATAATAAAAAAAACAAACAAACGAACGTCAACGGTTTCTTGTAGACGTATCTGTTTTAAAAAAGTAAAGTGTTCTCGAATAGTTGAATTTAAATATTTTAAATAGTTTTTGTTTATTCTTTGTATTTTTTTTTGCTTCCGAGGACGGAAGAGATTAACGTTAAGCATTTTTTTCTTTGTTAAGCAAATTTGAATAACTGTAAACATAACTTCTGACAAGCA